TCCCGTGCTTCTCCAGCCCCTAGGCTTACATAGTGGGTATATAGGGTATTTTCTGGCTCTGCTCTCCTCTTCCTGGGTGTTGCTTGTGTTTTTTCCATGCTCTCCTGTCCCTGTTGACATCTCCATATGCTTCTACACCAGCTTTCCTCTCTCCCCTGGGCCAGCTGGTATTTCCCCAGCCTCTCTTCTCTTTTCCATAAGTTTGTTGCTGCTTCTCCAGCCTCTCTCCTTTCCTCCCTGGGTGCTCTGCTGCTTTCCTTGCCCCTTTCCATTCCTCTCTTCCTTCATGGGTCTTGTGCTTTTCCAGCCTCTCTTCTCTATTTGGTAGTATCTCATTCGATTTTCTGTCTTTGCTCGTCAATTCCCCACATGTGCATTCCTCCTTTCTGGTTGGTATCCAGCATCAATCAGCCTCTCCTAGGTGCTTTTCTAGTCCTTCTCCTTGGTAGACCTATGGGTTTTTGATACTTATCAAAGTTTGTTTTCCTTCTCTCTTTTGCCTCCAGTGCTTCTTTCCCTCTCCTTAGTATCTCTTTGGCCTCTCTTCTCATAGCGTTTGTCTGGGGGGGTCCCCCACCTCTGTCATGTCATAGGTGTTCCTCAAGCCTCCCTTCCCTCCCCTTTGGTGTTTCAGGGGGTCTGTGGGTCTGTCTTTCTTCTCTTCCTTGCTGTTTCTGGTGCTGCTCTAGTTTTTACCTGCCCCCTCCTGCCTTGGCCTCTCTGGTGCTCCTCAGCTGCTCTTTCAACTTTTCCCCTATCCATTAGCTGCTCAGGTGTTGCTTTCATTCCTCCATCACTCGGATATTCCACCCTCCAGCCTTATTTCTTTTGCTTGATCTTGGGTGTTTCTCCAGCAGTTCTTTTGTGCTGTCTTGGGTATTTGTCCAAGGTAGCTCCTTCTCCATCATGTTTCTTTTAGGTTTTTGTGCAACCCTCTTACTCACCCTCTTGGTCTTGGTTTTTGGAGTTTTTTTAGTGTCCCAGCTACCCTCCTTGCTGTGTCTAGTATTTATACAGTCCCTCTTTACTCCTGACTGCCTGGGATGTTCCTCCAGCCTCTGTTCTTCCCTCTATGGCCTCTCTATAGATTCTGGAGCTTCTCTTCTCCCTTCCTTACTGTTCCAGTGCTTGTCCCACTTCTCTTCCAATCCTTGTTGTCTTAGGTGATTCTCCAGCCTCTCTTCTTTCCTTTTTCTCAGGTGTTTTTCCAGCTTGGTACATGATTCTTTTGCTGCCTCCTTACTTTTCTCATTGGGTTATGGGTGCTTCTCCAGCCTTTATCCTCTTTCCTGTGCTTTTTCAGCCTCACTGTTCTCCTTGTTTGTCTTTGTGGGCTCTCCTTCCTCCCTTCTCTCCTCCTTGGTGTCCTGGTACATATCCAGGTTCTTTCCTTCTCGTGCCCCCAAATGCTTCTCTAGCCTTTTTTCCTGTTCCTTGGTATCTCTTTAGCCTCCCATTTTTCTCCCCTGCATCAAGTGGTTCTCTGCCACTCCACCTCCCTTGTGTCTAAGGTGCTTGGTCATCCTCCCTTCTTCTCCTAGCATCTCATGTGCTTCTGTAGCCTCTCTTCCCCCTTATGTTGGATTTTTCCAGCCTGTCTTCTCCCTCTGTTGGTGGTCCTCATTTTTCTCCAGATTCTTCTGTCCCCCATGCTCTTTCATTTGCTCTGCCAGTGCCATTACTTTTTCTTGCTTTCTCAAGTGCTTCTCCAGGCTCTCTTCCATCACCACTGGTGTTGGTGTTGCTGTACTTTGTCCAACCCTTTCTACTTTCTTTGGTGTTTCAAGTATGGCTCCAGTTATTCTTGCTCTACCTGCCTTTGTGGTGCTATTCTACCTCTTTCAGCAACCCTTCTTCCCCTGTTCCCCTTGCTACCTTGGTCTTGAGTGCTTTGCTAACTTCTCATTTCTGCTTCTTGATCACTCATTCTTCCCCTACCTTTCTTTTGTAATCAAGCCACTTAGATGCTTCAACAGCTGTTGATGTCCTACCTTTGATGTTTCTAGGTGGCTGTCAGCCTCTCTTCATTGGCTCCTAGTGTCTTGCTGCTTTTCCAGTCTTCACTACTCCTGTTAGTTTTTAAGGTACTCTTCCAGCCTCTTTCTCTTCCCCCTTGGTGCCACAGATACTTTTCTAGCCACTTGGTTCCTTTGGTCTTGTCAGGGTCTTACCCACCTGCTTTTCCTCTCTTCTTTAGCTACATTTTGTCTGCTTTCTTTTTGTCAAGATGCATCATCTACCCCCATCTGGTCCCCTTCTTCCATAGTCAACACCATTTTCTGGGTCCAGTTTACCTGATCCCCTTGCCCACCTGGATAGGAGTTCCTTAGTCCTGTCTCAATTAACTTCTCCCCTGCCTAGGCCTGCCTGCCTTTGTCCACCTTCCCCCTCTACCTGTTTTTCCTCTGTCCCTGTGTTCCTAACCCTGCCTCCCTTCCCCTCCTGGTATGCCAGCCCAGTACTGGTTGTCTCATTTTCTTCATTTACATGTCCTGCTCCATTGGTCTGTTCCTTACCACCATCCTTGTATCTTGTTTTCTTTCAATCTGTAGTTTCCAAGTCTTTGCTTCCTTTTAACCCCATTCTGTCATCCCCTTCAAGCCAGATCATGTGGACTGGGTATTAGATGTCTCCAGCCTGGAGGTGGCTAGAGTTGCCTGAGCTGACTTTAGTGTTGGTGTTAAAGAATGGGGAATGTTTCAGACTGCTGATGGGTGTGGAGGTCAGGATTGCCCATGCTAAGTTGCAGGCATAGGCAGACTGGCATCTTGAGGCCAGTGGCAGTGATAGCTTAGACCCTCCCCACCCTCAGCTGTGAAACATAAGCATCTACCTGGCCTTGAGCTGGACCCATCTGTGCCCTTACCTTGGAGGAGCCCTTCCATTCCTAGCCATTAACAAGGCCTGTGCCTGACCCCATTCCTCAACACCAGCACTTGAGCCAGCTCAAGCAGTTCCAGTGGCCTCCAAGCCTGCCAGTACTGTGCTTCTACCCTCTTGTTTGCTTCATGTTGACTTAGTTTGTATGCTTGGTCCCAAGCTGGCTCAACAGTGGCCTGCCTGGAGCTCCTGCTCCTCCTGTCCCTTTACCCCCCACTTTTATTTGTTGGGTGCCCCTCTTTGCAGCCCCTTCTGTACTTTGGCAGCCTTTTTGCTCTGCCCTGATGGGCCCTGTGAGGTCTCCTGAAGCCTCCTCCTTGCTTGGTCAAGTGCTTCCACAACCTGTTCACTCTGGCCCTTTGTCTTCTGCTTTTTTCCCTAGTGTCTGTTCTGCCCCCACCATTGGCATGTGGTCTTATCTGGCTGCCTTCTCTCCCCCTTTGTGTCAAACAGACTCTTCCAGATGATACTCAAGCTGGTCTTCTTTCTGGTTCTTGTTGGTGCATCCCAGTGCTTAGTCTGCTGCTTATCAAGCCCCAAGGGCCTGGGTTCTTCAACCCTGGCCAGTCAAAGCAGGTGTTCCCTTCATGATGGTTTCCATCCCTTATCACTCTCCTTTGGTGTCACGAGCACTTTTCCCAAATCAATTCTCCCCTCATTTGTCTTGGTATCTTCTTGAGCCTTTCTTTCATTGTTGGTGCCTTGGGTGCTCCTCAAGACATTCACCACCCCTCCTCCATCATGGCTCAGTTGCTTCTCCAGCCTCCCTTCTCCCCTTTCCTCCTTGGTGTCCCAGGCTCTTCTCCAGGTCCCTGTTCTCCTCTCCTTGGTGGCTCAAATGCTTTTCCAGCCTCTCTTCTCCCTAAGGTGTCAAGTGCTCCTACCTCTCTTCCTTCTTTGCTGTGAGATGTATCCAGCCTTACTCATCTCCTAAGTGTCCTAGGTGTTTCTCAATCCTCTGTGGTGTCTCAAGTCTTTTTACCTATTCTACCTTCCACCCTCTCTCCAGCACTCTCCTCCCTGTGTGCATTGCTTCTTGACCCTATCTGCTCTTCTCGGTAGCTGTCACATTTGCTCTTGTTGTTCTGTTCTTTTCTCCTGCATGTCTCAGACTCCTCCACTGATATTTTACTCAATTTTTCAGGTGCTTTTCTAGTCTGTCATGTTCCTTTGTCTTCAGTTTTTGTCCAGCCCCTGTCCTTTCCAACCCAGTTGATGCTTTGCCTTTACTGTCCTCCTTCATGTTCTTTCAGGTTTTAATTTGTACACTTGGCACAAAACTAGACCAACCATTCCCCCAACACCCTTTCCATAGCTGTGGGATATAAGCATCCATCTGGCATACCCTTGCCCCTGAGAGCATGACCTACCTGTGCCCTTAGCTTAGCTTGGGGAAAACCCTGCCAGATGCAATGAATGTTGTGAAACTTTTCCCATTCTTAAAAGCTAGCACTTCAGCCAGCTCAGACAGGTTCAAATACCTCAGATACAGCCTCCTCACTGGACCCTGTTTGAGGCTCCTGTCTTTGTTGACACCTAGCTAGTAGATTCTCTGAAATCTGGACAGTTATAGTTGAGAGCAGTGTCACTGATTGGGGAGGTGCAATTTGGCTTGCTTAGTCTGGGGCTCAGCCCAGGGACTTAGCATGATTGTAATGTTGTGTAGTCTTGCTTCAAGTAGAGAGGGTTGACTTGGGTCTTGGGGTCCTGAGAGTCGGAGGTGGGTGGGGGAGATCTGACTTGGTTGGGCTGGTAGCAAGCAGGGAACTTGGGTGAAGAGCAGGGATTTACTCATGGTTTCCTTCACCAGTCAATAGAATCAAGGTCCTCTGTCCCTTGTTGTCACCCTCTCCTCTTGATCTGTCCTCTTTAGAGATGGCTAGAGTCTTAATCATGTCTCAATTACCCCTTTGTCTGAGGTATGCTTATCTGGCCTCCTTTCCCTTTTGGTCTTCTGTGCCTTCTTCCATCCTTGTATCCTTCTTCTGGCTCCATTAATTTCACCTGATTTGTTTAGGTTGTCTGTTACCCCAGGCTGCCTCAAATCACCTCTTAGTTTCTCATGCTATTCTCTAGTCACTTTTCCAGTCTGGGCATGTCTCCCTGTGTCCTGCCTCATATGCCCACTTAATCTCATCTCCCCTTATCTGCCCTGCCTCTCCCCTCTTGAGCTCTCCTCTCCTGTTATGTTATCTGCTCACCTGCCCCCAACAAAGATGCTGGGAAAGGTCAGGTGGCTGCTTATATGATCCCATTTGGTTGTCAGTTTTTGGTGTTGGGTTACCAAGGGTCCCTACACTTGGCTCCAATAGCACTTCCTGTGGCTGGGGATCCAACCATTGGGTTTCAGGAAAAGAGACTTGGGGAGCCCTCTAGGCAAGTCTTTTTGGCTGGAATCCTGGAGGCTTCCTGCCTGAGCCTGGATCTGAGGAAGCTTAAGCAGGCCAAAGTGTTTATGCCATGGAATGAGGAAGGGTTGGGGACATCTGAAACCGGGGAGTTATTCAAGCCAGGGGCACAAATTGACAGTGATCAAGAGGAGACTTGAAGGCCAGGTGGGTGCTTATATCTCAGCCCTTTGAAATAGATTTTGGGTTTACAGCTACCAAAGGCACCCTCACTTGAGGTCCAGTGGTACATAATGCTGCTGTGCATTTCCAAGATCACTTTAAGGCCTGGGTCTGGGGCCATTATGAGCAAGGGTCTGTGTTGTGAGGCTCTACAGGTCTCGGCCTGGGCCTGAAGTTTGAGGGACCTTAAGCAAGTCTTAATGCTAAAGAATGGGGAAAGTTTGGAGGCACTTAATTCTGATGAAGCACTTTTCCTACTTCAGCTGTTAAAGTGCAGAGAGCACTAGATAAGTTCAAGGTCAGGTGGATATTTGTTCTGCCACCTGGAAGTAAGTTTTGGTGTATGCTTTTGAAAGTAAATGTCTGTTGCTCCAATGAATCTTGCTGCTATTTATGATCCCACAGCCAGAGTCATAAGCACTGGGTTCGGAGGCTGCCTAAGTTCTTGGAGTCTTGGGGGGGTTTTTGCTGTGGGCCTGGGCTTGATGGGATTTCAGCAGGCATGTCTTGATGTGATAGCTTGTGCTATGGGAAGGCGTGTGAGAGCAGGCTGATGGTTGAAGCAGGGAGAGTTCCTCAGCAAACCTAGGGGCACAAATAAATATGGATCTAGAGGAGAGCTGAAGGCCAGGTAGATACTTATGTCCTGAAATATGCAAGTAGCTTCTGGGCATAGGGCTACCAAATAGCAGCTGAGGAGCCCAAAGTTGGGACAAAGCAAAGGAGTTTGAGTCCTTGTTAAGACAGAGTTAGTGTGGTGGGGGCACAGGGTTTGAGGGAGCTTAATGAAGTGAGTCACTGTGTTAAGAATGGGGAAGCTTTGAAGCCCTAGTCATAAGTGAATTGAGGGTCCCTTGTCAAAGCATAGGACAAGCATCCAACTGGCATTGAACTGTTTTTCAACCACCCACTGGGACAGGGAGCTGGAGGATTGTTGAATGTCCGTTGGATTCTTATATCCCACCACTTTCCTGTAAGGATTTGGTGTAGGGCTATTAAAGGAACCCTGCCTCTTGCTCCAGTGTTACTTGCTAAACCTGGGGATACTTCAGCCAGGTTTAATGAAAGGTATTTTGGAGCTAAGAGGTCTCCCACAGGGGCCTGGGTTGAGAGAGGCTGCAGGAGACCTTAACAGACCAAAAAGCTGGGGAGAAGAAAGGGTGGAGAAGCCCCTGAACTATCAATTGAGAGAAGTGGCCAGAGGAATACCTCACAGAGCAAGGATGGGCAATTATTTTGGGCAGAGGGCTGCTTACTGAGTTTTGCCAAGCCATCAAGGGCTGCATGACGGGCAGCTCAGGGCAGATTAATATTCATTTCCTACATTTTTTAGGGGCCCTGTGGGCCAGATAGAATGGTCTGATGGGCTGCATCTGGGCCCTGGACTGCATTTTGCCCACCCCTGTCAGAGCCAAGAAAAAGAAGGGCATATTGGAAAAGTAAGTTTCTGAGGACAAGGGGGAGTGAAGAATTGTCAGAAGTATATCCATGAGCAGTTGGAAAGATAAAGACTGCCTCTGACAACCAGAGGGGCTTCAGAAACAATTGACACACACAAGGGCAAAGTTAGAGAATGGAGAAGAACCTGAGGCAGAGCCTAGAGAGGCTGGAAGTGCACCTGAGAGCCCAAGGTGGAGCTAGAAGTGGAGGTGCACCGAAGAGCCCAAAGGGACAGGTGACAGCCCAAGGCAGAGCTAGGAGAGGCCTAAAGGAACCTGGGAGCCTGAAGTGTTAAAACCTGGAGAGGTTGCAAGAGTACATAAAAAGCCATGGCAGAGCTGGGAGAGGAAGGAAGAGAGGCTGGCACCTGAGAGCAAGGGATAGAGAAGAAAAGCTGAAGGAAGTGGGATATCAAAGGTGAAATGCAAGGCACCTGGGAAGACAAAGGGGGAAAGACGGGGCCTGAAGATCTCCTGAGAGACCAATTGAAAGGGGGAGAGAGGTAAAAGAAATATGTAAGGAACTAAGGGGGAAAACCAGAAGTTGGAGGAACACTTTGGAGCTGAAGAAAGAGCAGCAGGGGGAGTAAAGAGTCTGGGGAGGCACCTGAGAGACCACAGGGAAGAGAGGTTCAAGGAGCACCTGAGAGGCCAGGAAGCAAACAAAAGGTGCTGTGGAAGCCCTTCTGAGCAAGGAAGAAAGAAGAGACTAGGGAAGCACCTTTAGGAACAAAGCAGGCAGGAAGGGAGGCTGGAGAAACAGCTGAGAAAAGGAACAAAGAAGAAGACTGGAGAAGGGCCTGAAAGACCAAGATTGGAAGGAAAAAGGATGGAGAAGTATCTGAGACACCAAGGGAAAAAGAGAGGTCCACAGGAGAAGAGGGCCAGTGAAGGACCTGAGACCAAGAGGAAGATGAGAAACTGGAAAAGTTCTTTCCTTGCCCTTGGAATGTATGTAATAATAGTTGTTACATCATTTCTTCCAAGTTTGCATTGGGAACTTGTTTATCACTGCACTGCTCAGCACTGTTCACTCTCACAAGTTAAGTCCTACTCATTGCTTGCATGAGTGGCTCTGTTGACTTCAGTGGGACTTGTGCAATTTTCATATTTTGCAGAATTGGAAGTTAAGTAGCAAACCATGTGGTGAACTATGATTAAATTCCTTCGTATATTAAATAGAATATATGTCCAAAATTGTAATGACTAAGTTGTAAAGCTGTTGTCAGACTCCTTCTAATTTTCTGTTAGAAATGTCCTCATAGACACTCTCACACTTCAATGGTGTTGTGAGCTCTTCTTTTTCCCTGGGGCTGACTTTTTTTTTTTCCCCTCTGAATACCAAAGATGTTCATTGCAAAGAAGCCTCAGTAAGGCTTTCCTTATGTAAGCAAAGGAAATGGAAGATACTTCCTGTATTTACTGATGAGGAAGGAATGATTATTTGAGTTACAAGCAGAAAATAGAAATGAAAAAATTATGCATGTGGCATTTAATGTAATGCTTTCTATGATTTCAGATATTGCAGTCAGTGCATTGCTAGAGGATTATTGTCCTGTACAACAGAAGCTGGAACTTCTGGGCATTTACTTCTCTTAGAATAATTAGGCCTCTTCCTGCAGCCATTGAAGTGGAAAGGGAAGGCTTCCACCTGGCTAGACACTGAGGCCTGACAGACATAGCACTTACTGGTAGAAGTGATCAGACACCAGTCCATACCTGTAACAGAACAGCAGTTTAGCACATGTAGACTGGTTTAAACATGGTGGAACCTGGCCTAAGCTATGCTCTGCCACACCACCACCAAAGGTCAAATGTGCTTTTGGTTTACTACAGTTTTAAATTATGTTGCTTACGGAAAACAGCACAACTAGGATCAATTCTGCCTCAGGCATTTTGAATATCTGTGCCTCATCTTATTGTCATGAAATGTCTCACTCGCCAGGTGTTATTGCAATGAAGGATGAGGCCAGCTGAAAGCTGGTTATCTCATGTGAGCAATCTCAGCAAGTCTCAGTCCTACTCTAGTTTGTATCAAGGTATTACTAAAAACGTAGTAGCCTCCTGTGTTGCAGATATTGCTCTTCTATTCTTTGCTTTTGCATCTGGTCAATAAGATGGGTGATGATAATATCCACTCCAAGCCTTTCGGATAGGATGGGATATAAACATAAAAAATAATAAAAATTCTAAATATTGATCATTATTTGAGAATAATGCAATGACAAACTGGTGAAATAATCTATCAGGAAGGGGGTATTCATTTTTTGGTATGGCGTGTTATACAAACTATCAACTTGTATTAAATCTCAAGTGGTAAGGGCAGATTTTATCTTGTGTAATGTACTTGGAGTCTTAGTCCTGACATGGCACTTAAATTGTTTCAAGGAGACCCAAGATGCAACTGGTAATAGCTGTGATATGTTTGATCCATGGAATTGATCTGTGCAAGAACTCACTAAGCAGAATTAAAATGTTGATCCTGAAGTACATATAAATATTCCAAGTTTGGTATTACAGGGCAATGAAAAATCTCTGGGAAAAAAATAGATGTTTGTTGGTTGTGTACTAAATCATTTGATTAAAGGCTCTGTCCATTTAAGAGTTAACGCCTGACACTTCATTACACCTTGAAAATATAAGCTTACTAGAAATCATTTATGGTTATGATCCCAAGTGTCCATGGAGCGTAGAAAACCTTTAAAAAAAATAAGAACTTTGACAGACAGAGAACAGCCTTCCATTTTTTTTCCCCTGCAGATGGGAATTACCACCTACAGGAGATACTGCAGTGAGGAGTATGACATTGTGACAGAGGACGACTATATCCTTACTGTACAAAGCGCTCCCCATAGAAAAGTAAATATTATCAATATAGGTTAAAATGTCTGTCTTGGTTAAACATGGAACTTGTACCTATGATTTCTTTTTTTCCGGAACTCTTTGTAACTTAAATAACTATGTGCAGGAACCTAAACCTAGGAAATTTATGATTTTAGTTTTGCAGAGGTATTTTCAAGTTGACCATCTCTATCATGGAGATAGATTTCCCCCCCTGCCGCGCTCACTTTGGGCTAATAGCACTGCAGGAGGCCTCCTGCCATTAGCAGAATCTAGCAGCTGTGGAGTACAAGGTTGTGCTCTAAGCCTGTCCTAAACAGTTTAGGTTTTGATGTAGTCTGCCAAGCAAAGTTATTTGAATGAACTACTAATGTTTAATTTGAAAATATCATTTGAATTAAGGACACCCTTGTAGATGTATTTATTTTGGGAATTATATATATTCCCAATTATATATTTTATATTTTTTTTATATAAAAATAATGGAATGGTCATAGATCAGAAACTAAATTTTAAATAGTACGATACAAAATTAAGGTGACAAACTGTTCTCTGTCTGTGGCTGACTGAGCTCCTTGCAAGCAATTATTTAATATAAATACTATTGCAATTAGAGCCTGGTCTTAGATGGGAACTTGTATTTTTCAGTGTAAATAAACAACAACAAGTAATTCTTTTCTGTTGGCATGGTATTAGTAATGGTGGTGGCATTGTGAACTGTTGCAGAAAAAAATGCAATATGGGCAGGAGTCAAGCTAGAACTTAATCTATTAATTGGATACTTGGTAATGATAAGCAGAGGGAAGTACAGAAAGTCCATGGGCTATAATATTCCATCACTTATATAGAAAAGTAATTATGATTTTGCTGAATGAAGTATGTGTTTATATTTTGGTTTAACATGTGGCTGTCCTAGGTATCTACCATTCATTCTGTTTTTAGGACTTGGATTTTCTTTTAAATACCATATTGCCATTTCAAAGGATGGTGTGTTATTGAAACTTATTTGGTCTTTCCAATTAATTTTAATTGATGTGATGGCTAATTTAATGTGGTACAGTGTCTTTGTTTACTAAAGTATTGTTGCATAGTTAATGTTGAGTAACTAATTTATTAATTTAATATCCTGGGAAATATTGAGCAAGTTCCTAAGTTATGGGGAAGACAGTATTCTATTCTAGAAAGCTGAGGATATAACTAGTGGATCTTGGATCTTGCTCTGACCAGTAAGGACAAAATGATTGAGGAGGGGAGTAAGAAATTTTGGAGTAAGTGATCATGACATGACTGAATTCATGGCTCAAAGATGAGGAAAGGCATGGGTTTAACAAAACTAAGGGATATCAAAGGGTGGATTTCATCCAGTTAAGGGAAATAGTAGGGAAGGTTCCATGGAAGGATGAACTGAAGGATAAGGGGGTCAGGATGGCTGGCTGTTTCTAATGGATGTGAGAGATGGGGCAGTAAGCCTACCCTGTCACAAGATGCCAAAAGAGGAAAAGAAACTTACCATGGCAGTGAGCCTGGATGGGGGGAAATGACATGGTGAGCCCAGATGGAGGAAAAGGCTCACAGAAATCCCTGGATGCTAATTAATGCCATCAGCTGTGAGAACTGGCACAGCAGTGAATGGGATGCTACCACTGTACACACAGCAGATCAGTGTGGGAATTTAAAAGAGCTGATGGAGCAGTCAGCTCTTCTCCAGTGAGGGGAGGGGAGATCCTGGGATGCTTTGTGGGGAATGGAGCTGCTGCAGTGGTTTGTGGCTGATGGACTTGCCTGAAGAGCAGGGGCAGTGGGAAGCTACCACAGCTGAACCAGTGAGCTTGAGTCAGGTGGGTGCAAGAGTTCATTCTGCAGGCCTGAGAGAGGAGGAAAGAGGCAGATCTAAACTGTGAGTTTGGGGCATTGTCCCAAGACCGCTGTTCCTGTAAAGGTAAGGGGGTGGGGAGGGCAGCTTATGACTTTATTTGTAACCCATGAGGTGAAGAATGGGACAAGAGGCAGACAACCAGAAACTGGCTTCCTGGAGTTCGAGCAAGGCATCATAGAGAATCTGACTCCCATGGAGGAGACCTAATGAGATCAATGCAGGAACATCTTATGTGGTAAGGAGAGGGGATGGGGATGGTGGAGCCCTGTGTAAAGGAGCCATACTTTTAAGTTGCATGAATTAACATTGGCCTGGTCTCCCAGGACTATTCATTTGATTCCTTGCTTAACATGCAAGTCATGGTGGGTAAAACTAGAAGATAATCTGGTCTTGAGAGAGAGATTGCAACTTTACTTTGGCCTGGCTAGGTCTTCCCCAAAGTGGTATTAGAAACTTAAAAAAATAGGACACAATGGCAATGCAGGAATAATAGCAGACCAATGTGACTGCACAAGGAGGTCCTTGGATGCCTCAAATCAAATGAAAAACATATAGGTACTAGAAAGATGTTCAAATCTCACTGAGGAAGCGTACAACAGATTCACAGGTTGTAGAGTCGGAAGGGACCACAATGGATCATTGTGTCTGACCCCCTGCCCCTGCCAGGAAAGAGGACCAAGGTCAGATGACCCCAGCCAGGTGATTATCTAGCTGCCTCTTGAAGACCTCCAAGCTAGGTGATAGCACCACCTCTCTTGGAAGCCCATTCCAGATCCTGGCCACCCTTACTGTGAAAAATTTCTTCCTAATATCTAACCTAAATCCACTCTCAACTAGTTTACACCTGTTATTCCTAGTCACTCCCTGGGGCACCCTAGTAAACCGCATGTCCCCTATTCCCTGTTGACCTCCCCTAATAAATTTATAGGTGGCCACAAGATCTCCCCTCAGCTGTCTCTTGTGAAGGCTGAAGAAATTCAGCTGTCTCAACCTCCACCTGTAGGGTCTATCATGAAGGTCACTAATCATGTGAGTGGCCCTCCTCTGGACCCTCTCCAGGTTCTGTGTCCCTCTTGAAGTGTGGCGCCCAGAACTGGACACAGTACTCCAACTGCGGCCTGACCAGTGCCGCATAGAGGGGGAGCATCACCTCCTTTGTTCTATTTGTCATGCACTTGCTAATGCATGACAAGGTGCGATTGGCCTTGATGGCCTCATTACACTGCTGGCTGATCTTGGAGTTGTTGTGTTCATCTTGGAGTCAAAATAGCAGGAACTTGCAGGGACAAAATCGGGGAAGAAAGGGATGGGGGGGGGGGAATATTGGCTTCTCTTCCCAGATGCTAGGACAAGAAGGGGTTCTGTAAATACAGGTACATCGATCAAGAATGAAAGCAGTGGGTCCAAGGCTAAATAGCTATTAACAGATTGTCCCAAAAAATGGAGCTGCTTAACAAATATTTTGCCTTGATCTTTGCATGCAGCCAGACTACTAAGAAAAGTTACTAGACAAGTAAGGGAAAAGAGTGAGGGTCATTATAGTGAAAATGTCAAAACTTGTAATTTAGTCATCAGGGCCTGATGAACTGTAGAAGGGATCTTGACAGTAATATTAGGAAGTCTTGGTAGATGGGCCAGGTCCTAGAAGACTGGAAATGGGACATAGTGCCTTTCTTTAAAAAGGCAAAAAGGAGGACCTGGAGAACTATTCACCAGTCAACCTGACTTCAGGAACTGCAGCAGATTATGAAGAAGTCTATTTGTAAGCATCTGGAGGAGGAAAGGCTGATCATGAGCAGCCAGCAGATACTTGGTAAGAATGAGTCATGCCAAAACAACTTAATATCCTTTGAGAGAATCATTAACTGGGTGGATAAAGGGCATTGCAGACTCAGGGCATTTAGTCTTGTTGGATTTCAGTAAGGCTTTTGATAAAGTCCCACATGTCCTTCTCACAAGCTGATTGAGGAAATGTGGGCTTTGATAAAATTACTACAAGGTAGACAGGGCTGTTGGTTGTAGCTGTGTTGGTTTAAGGACATAAGCAGGCAAAGTTATTTGGGTACATGTGGTATATTTTATTATCTTTTGTTGGTCTAATAAAAGATATCGCATCTGCCCAGAGACAGATTACCTTTTGGTTGTGATTGTTGAGACAAGATTATAAATAGAGCATTTTTAGAATGATGTATGAGGCTTTGAATGGGCATCCGTGGGGGTCTGTCTGATCCAGTGCTATTTAACATGTTTACTAGTTACTAGAATGATGCAGTAGTTTCCTGAGCATGTCCACAGATAATACAAATATATTGGAGGGTAGAAGTAGAATTCAGAAGGATCTTGATAAATTGGAAAGTTAGGCTAGGAATAACAGAATTAAATTTGGTGCTGACAAGCACAAAGTTCTACATCAGGGGTGGGCAAAATGCAGCCTGCCCATGGGACCCCTAAAACATTTTGAAAACTTAATATTTATCTGCCCCTGGATGCCTGTCATGCGGCCCTCGATGGCTTGCCAAAACTTAGTAAGCGGCCCTCTGCCCAAAATAATTGCCTGCCTCTGTTCACCTTCAAAAGAATCTAACACAAATACCGAATGGGAGGTAACTGGCTGGGTGATCTGCTTATAGCTAGGCCAGTTTCCTTTTACCTAAACTGCCAGATGTTTCTGTTCAGTGGGTTACAGGGGTCTCAGCTGAGAGCAGTCTCCTGTTGCTTTAGGGATTCCTGTAGGGCTTACAAAGGACTTAAGCTGGTGCTTCACTTTAACCCTATGAGTTGTCCCCCAGAAAAGACAGAAAAGAAACTGCTTATGTGGTGTTTGGCTTGGGGCATCACTAGTTAAGACTGGATTACAGATGGCCAGGAATAGGATTTGAAGTGTAAAGTCTGGTGAAGAAAGCACACTTGCTTGTTCATTTAGTGGTTTGGTACTCACTCAATGAGAGATGGACATAAGCATCTCTGCATTACTAGCTGATGTTTCTTCCTCCAGTCCAGTTAGTTTTAAAAGAAAAAAAAATTCTACTAATGTGATTTTTTGCTTTACTGTTTTCACTAAATGGACAGGTGTAACCTTCCAGCATAGATTAACATTATTCCACAGAGCTGGGGAAGAGAAACTGTACTTTGGCCATGCTTAGGTTGAGATGCAAAGTAATTTGATATATTAGAACATACTGTTTGTAATCCCATGTACTCGGAAAAGGTTCCATTGGACTAGTACTCTTTCAGTCATGCAGCAAATGTTTGGTCATAACTGCACATTTTGAAATCTTTCCTATATCTGGATGTGGTTGATTCCACTAGAATATGCTACATAACCTCTTTTCCTTGCATAGTATTAGCATAGCCTCTTGCTTTAAACTTGAATTTGCAGGTACCCACAAAGAGTTAACATGGCTAGTTTGGTCTCACTGAAAGTGTATGGCATTCACAAAATCTGATGCATTTCTCCCTAATAATATTTGACTAGATATTCCCTGTGTCCTTCCCTCTGCTTGACCTTAGTATCCTGTTCTCATCACAGCGTCTGAACTAGTCCTTTTCTATTATACATGGATGATACAAATTTAGTAATTTAAAGAGGCTTTTGATGGAAAGGGTGCTAAAGCATACATTGGAGTATGGAGAAGCAACAGGGGTGACCGAAGGAGAGGTGCAGGAAAGAATAAATGGTGGGCCATGTTTTTGGAGTGTACATATGCAAAGGGTGTGGGAGAGTCTGCCACTTTGAGTGTAACTGAAATAAACCTGTCATTGGCATGGGAGATGGTACTATATGGACTCCTACCAAAGGGAACAGAGGAAAGGTCATTAAGGGTTTCATTAATACCTGTTAAAACTAACTTATGGAAAGTAAGAAACCAGGGGTCTAAGGGGTTGTCTTTCACTGAAATAGAGTGCTTGAAGCTGGGGCTGCATGAACTTAAATACTGCATCGATTGGGACAAGGAAGAGATGCTAGAGGAAGAGGCAGAAGTGGAGGAAAAAGTCATGGACACATTTGTTTCACTAAACCAACAGAGGACTGATGGGAGGGGCAGACAGTTTCAGGTGGTTACTGAGGTAACAGGTTTTTCATGGGATTCTGTATGAAGAAGACTACTTCTGTAAAAGTTTGTTTTTTATGGGAAGTTCATGCATGTTTAAGGGTTTAATAAATGCAGCTATGTTGGTTTTTTTTTTTTATATATGCAACTGTTTCTGTGGTAGGAAGTCTTGGTAAAACAAGGGTGCTTAATCTGTGTAGCTCTGCACGTCTAGGATTAAAAATATACTTTTTACAACTTGTAAAAATAAATTAAAAAAAAAAACCAAACAAAGGTATCCATCAGCATGTTTCCCCTATATAGGCTGTGTGTGTTATAGTCATGCTCACTGTTCATTGTATTTAATTGACTTCATACTAGGCTTTTTGTTACTGAGCACATGCTGCTTTTAGCAGTAGTTAAAAGATATGCACAGAAGGAAGCCAAGTAAAAATAGATGGCCTAAGAGGAGGGGCCAAGAATAATGATAAGTTGGAGAGTTATGATTAGATGCAAAGCTTAAAACTGAGTGATCCAATGGGGCAGCTTCCATCACCACATATTTCTAAGCAAAGCTAAACCACATACTGACACACAAACTGGTTACGCAATTCTGGGTACTTGCAAGGCAATGTTTAACCTTCTAGCGTCAACACATCCTCAAGATTTTCTGGGTGGTTTTGCTTTACAAGTGGGGATGCACAAAGTGTTATAGTTCGCCCTACTTCAGGCTGTGACTTCTCAGGCTAATTCAGTATGGCTACCTTACAGTAGTAATTGATTTTTGGTGATGTTAGGCCAAATGTCTTTGAAATTGTAACAACTGTTTTTATAGGTATTCTTTAACATTCAAGCTTGATTACAACTTACAAACAAGACTTATCACCCTTTCTTTGTAAAATGTTAATGCGGAAACCTAGAGATTTCACTCAGAGCACACAGTCCTAATGCACAGGCTAATTTGTTATTTTGATAACTAATAGCAGTCACTCTATTAAATAATAATTTTAAATGATGCTTCTATTATACAAGAGATGTTGGATTTCTTGTATGGCACCTACAACTCAATAAATGGAAGCAAAACAGAGATGCAAACAGGATGAAGTTATGGGCTAGACTATAATGAGCAGTTTGGGCCTAACTGGAGTAATGTGTGGAGTTAAATCCATACATCTTAAGAATGATATAGAGAAACTGGTGCAGATACAGACCCAAGCAACAAATATGATAAAAGGGTTGATGTGCAAGCCATAGGAAGACCGGTTCAGAGAATTAGGTATGTTTAGTTTAGAGAAAGGGAGGTGAAGAACGGATCTGCCATGAAGAAGAACTGTTGTCCCTTGCCTGGAGCATAAAACTTGAAACAATAGGTTTAAACTAAAGCAAAGCACTTTTAGATTAAAACTCCAAAACAAGCTACCTGGAGAAGTTGTGGAAACTTTTCCTATGGAGGTTTTTTTTTAAGAAGCAGCTGGATAAGCTTTTGTCTATCATGGTTTAAGAATAGAATAGCATATCCTGTATTTGTATAAGAGATTGGAATAATGACCCTTGAAGTTCCAGACCTTTTGAGAGTCTATGAACCTTGAATATAAGGATAAGTATGAGCCTGATGTGACCAGAAAGAGGAAGTGACTAATGTGGTGTTTGCATAGATACTTTAGCATTTGCATTTTGTTTAGACTGGGTTTGGGTGAAACAATGAAGCCCTAAGGAAGAACATTGAAGTAGCTCTCATTCTATTTCTAACTGTTAGTACTGATAGCTATTTTTCATAGGATGAGACCATTTGTGCTTGTAAAACTTTGTTACTAGCATTGGGTCTCTATGCAGGTCTGTCCTTTCCCTCACTGCTACTGAAAGTTTCTCACATTTGTTGCAACCCATACAATTCTATACACAAGTAGACCCCTTGTGTCTATAGGAGTTGCATATCATGGCTGTTTCATGTTTTAAAACCACAATATATCTTTATGAACTGCAATTTAATCATATGAGCCCAACAAGTGTGGGGAAACAATAGAGAGAGGCTTAGAAATCACACCCTTTATTTCAAAGATCTCACCCAGGAAAAAGGAAATGAAGACCCTTGTAGCAGTAACTCAAGGAATAATTTAAAAACATTGCTTTCTGTCCTTCTTAGTAACCGATACTTGTCAATAACCATCTATCACATTTCTGAACAGTAGACAATGACAGGTAAGAAAATTCCAAGGGCTTATCAATGGCCCCTTGGGTGCAAACACATCCAGTGGCAAAGAGAAAATGTTTTAGGAAGCTGGCAGTTATGACTTGTGAATCTGCCTAGTTCTGGCTCAATACCTTTGCAGTGACTCGCATAAGTTTAATAAATTGACCATGCAAAGGCAATTTGCAAGGAAATCTGCTCAACCATTACATACTTTTCTGACATCATAGCTCATTTTTTTGCTACTTCTACTGCAGAAAAAGAACTCTGACACAGACATGGAGTGACTGTACACAGAGTAATTTCATGGTAAAGATGAACAATTTCATGTTAAAGAGAAGAAGCTCTTCCTCCTAAGCTATCGTTCTGTAGTCTTAATATGGGTTAAGAAAAAGTTGCTAAGTAAATTAATACTATGATAGTTTGGAAGCTATATGTCTCTATTGTGGTTGTATGCTATACATACCATGAGAGAGTGGTATGGAACAAAAATATTAGGAGATGCTTCCGTAAGCTTTTCCAGCTATATGAGTAGTCACTCAAAGATGGGTGGCGGTGTGGGAAGCAGGGGTGGGGACATGTAATAATACCTGAGAAAGGAAGGAAGCACAGCTTCCTTTTCTAGGTCATTTTCTTTACTATGAAGTGGTATTTTTTTGCCCACCTAATTGCTTCTCTCCATTAAAAGCTTAAATTTATTAACATAAAAGATAAACATGTCCAATAGTATTAAGGATGGTTGAGAACAATAAGGAAAACATTTAAAATGGAATAAGTTCTTGTACTTTGATTCTATACACAGTAGGTGTAGAATCAATATTTAGAGTGAAATAGCTTGCTAAGAGCCATATTCTGCATCTCTGTGCAAAAAAAGTAGAAGTTGGGCAAGGTGTATCTATGGGAGGAAGATGGAGAAGGAGGGTCCTTTCCATACAGGGCCTGAAGTACTTCTATACATGCTTGATAAGTCCTGACTTGCAAAAATGTCTGCTACATCTCCACCTATGTAGGGATCATGAATGCAATTGTTCTGTTGCTTTTAGTCTCTTGTCATGCACATAATTCCACCTTCTGCAGAACTCCATAGCACATGTCTTATTGAAAAACCTGCTCAACTACTCCTTCAGTTCTCAAGCCATAAAGAAGCAGCAGGGTTCTACGGCCATGGAGCACTACTCAGTAATCAGTTGAAAGAGGAATTTGGTCCCAAGTAGATGCAGAAATTCTGTTATAGGTTCAAAATTAAAGCTGTGGTAAAGTGATACACTACTGGGAGGAACAAGGCAATATACCAAGCACAATTGTTTAAGTCTGTGGTTTGTGTTGAACAGTTCTTGTTGCTCGAGTCATAACTGAGTCAGATAAAACCATATTCTCCAAGCTTATGTCATGTGAATATTTTTTAGCTAAATACACTTAATCGTCTCATTCTTTCTTTCTTCTGTTTTCATCCCATGTTTTGTATTTTCCAAGCTAATTTATCTCTGGCCAGTTTAATACCTACTTGTTCATGTGCCTATAGTGTTCTTTAGTGACTAAGTAGCTTTTCACCCTTCATAGTGTAGTGTTTTATACTCTCCAAACCGCTGTTTTGCTAGGTTAAAGAAGCCAAGTCCTTTTAGTTTTCTCCCAAAAGGTAGATTCTGCAGAACCCTTTACACATTCAGGTGAAGGTGTGATAGGATTTGATGCACAATCCACACGGTTGTGCCTTCTGCCATGCCACATGTACATGCTTGTGGGATCTAGCGTCACATGCCTTATTGCTGGTACAGGGAGAACCTAGGATTGCCCTAGACCCAACAAGCAGGACCCAGAGTCTGCAGCTACAAGGTGCTGCTGGGAGGGAGAGTCCCCTCAAGTGCAAATGAAGGCTGGATAAAAGCCAGCTATAAAGTTATTAAACATTTTCCAGTGAGTTGGATCTGTATAGTGGATTGGACCTTTAATGGCATGTTAGTTGATTTGTACCTGTAGCTGGTCTAAATTTAATTGCACAATTAACTCAGTAATTGTGTTATACATGTAATGTGTAGACACCTGCATTTCCTTAGACATAGGTCCCTACTTGATACTGTATACTTATTACTTTTTCACTCAATAATTATAATACATAAAATAAGCACAACTGGGCCTTTTTTCACTTGGGGACCTAGACATGTGCCTAGTTTGCCTATGTGTTAATCTAGTCCTGTTTATGGTGGTATCACTTTGGTGGCTCATGATGATCCTGTAATTGATTAGTACACAACCTGGTTTTCTCCTACTACATTGTTTCCAGCTGATGAGTTCCCAACCTGGAAATTCTTGGCATTAGTTCCCAAATGCATGACATTACATTTCATACTATTAGATTTAAGCCAATTTCTGTTTCTCCAGGCCACAAAGTCATCCAGTTCTTTTTGAATGATCTTTGCCTGTGTTGATAAAGATCTTTCATGCCACAACTTTGTGCTACCAATAAATATCCTTGGCACATTTATACTTTTTGTACCACAGCTTTTAATGAAAATATTAAATAATAGCCCCATGACCAATCCTTGAGGAACTCCCGTAGCTACCTCCCTTCAGTTCAGTAGGTCCTCTTTTAGCACAACCTCAATGGGGACCTATTGTTTCCTTTATAGCCAGTTCCTTATGGTTCTTCAGTGAGTGAACCCTCATCTTCTGCAGTAGAACTAGTAATTTTCTGTGGTACCAGACTGAATGCTTT